GGGGATCCACAGCATGCAAGCCAAAATCGCTGGGGCTTCTCGGACAAAAGTTAAATTATTTAATTTCATCTTTCCTTTTCCTTTCAATATTTGGTGGGTTAGCCAATTTTTGATTATTCACTCAAAACACAATCATCCCCCTCCCCAAAAAATTGGACGTTCAGAAGCCTGTCTGCAGTCGTTTTTCAGATGGCTGCACCCCTCTTATTATTATCTCTTGGGTTCTTACATGTAGGACCATTCTCCAACCATAATTTTAACAAGTCTCCACTCAGATGCAAGCTCCCAGGAGTTTGATCCAGGTAAATTTTAAACACAATCTCACCATTTTGGGGGGCCAAACGACGTCCTTTTTCAAAAGAAACTTTGGGGGCATTTTTCACGCTAATGAGCTTCAAAGTTTTAACCAAGTGGCCTTGTGGACACTGCTGTTACGTCTGCATTGCAAGATGTTTTTGACTGTTTCTCTACTTCTTTTGGGAAATAGGCCTATAGGATACTTCCTGAACAGTAAAAGCATTACTCGTCCAAAGACCTAACTGATTCCTGATGTTAGATGGTTCCATACGCAATGGCATTTTGAAAAGGGCCCTGCAATCGTACCAGAAAAAACCTCCATTTGCACTTTCTTGATCAAATCTTCCCCTAAAAACCATAACACACGCAGGTAACCTACATGCATGCATATGAAACTACCAGCCACGTGTGTGTTTGTAGAGTGTAACCTGCATTATTAGCAAAAAATGAGTGTTTTCCTACCGTCTTGACCTAAAAATCCTTCAACGATCTACACACATCTGCATTGGTGTGATTCCCTGGCCACAGATTTCCCTGACATATCTGTTTTTTTTTTACCCGCATGCCGCTGCCTGGTGTTTTGTGAACAGATGAAGCCAGCAAATAGCTTTCACGGGACAGACTTGATTGCAGGGTTTTATTAGTTGTGGTGGTTTGCAGAAAAGTTACTTTGAAAGTGAAGACAAACTTTGTTTACTACAAAAATGGTTCAAATCACAGAAGATATCCATCTGATTGAGCAATGACTGTTATTTTGAAGTTAGTTCTTTGCCACTGAGAATTTTTTCAGACCTGTTTCAAAAAAGAAATCATACTCCAAATCAACCACAGAACTTGCAACCAAACGACTGCAGGTCTGTCATCTGTAATGGAATGACATTACAGTAAACCTCTTAACATGAAACAACATTCAATTACATGTCTAATACTGTTTGAACATTATAAATGTTTGAGAATCTGAAAAGTTACAGTGGGAATACAGGTGCAAGTATCAGTGAACAAATGACAGGTGTGTTGAGGGATGTGCTTGTTGAGAAGCGAGACGGTCCAAGCAGGGGTGAGATTGACCAATGATAAAAATAGCTGAAACAGCTGAAAAAAGGCCTAAAGAACTGAACTGTGAAAATCTCCTCTGCTTTTGTACACAGCCAGTGAGGACAAAAAAGCTGAAATCCAAAACAAAAAATGCTGAAATCAGCTGAAAAACTGAGAAATCTCACCCCCAGGTCCAAGTCATTTGAAGGCACATCAAGGGTTCCAGGCAGCTGGAGGAATCGGGTCAAGTCGTCCCCAGGTCAAGTCTTCCCCAAAAATTGATGCCCGGGTCAAGTGGTCCCTGAAATTGAACCCTTGGTCAAATAATCCCCCACTAGTTGCGTGGCAAGTATTTGTGCATGCAATTTTCTTTTTCATATACCTGTACATGTTAGATAAAAGCAAATAAAAGCATCGAGCCGGGATTTTCGATCGTCGAGGATGAAGAGGACCACGATGAAGCTAACAAATTTATGACATGTACATGTTGGTCTGTGTATCTGTGTTCCTACAAGAATGTTAAGATTCCACCGACCACCGAGGAAAAAAAAAAAAAAAAAAAAAAAAAAAAAAACATCTTGAAAATAGTTCGCGGTACCCGCTGCTTCATTTGACTCGGACTGACCAGCCGACCCCAGCAAGCTCGGTGGTCGAGTGGTTAAGACATCTGCACTAGTAAGCAGGAGGTCATGGGTTCAAGTCCCACCCGAGTAAGCTTGTGATGTTTTTTCGCAAGTTCTCGGACAAGCACTGAGCATACAGTGCTTATTAATATACGTTGGGTACGGGAAAACCGCTATATATATAATTAACATCTTCCCAATGCAAAAAAAAAAAAAAAAATACATCTTGAAAAAAGAAGCATTATGTCATAGGGGAATATTGTGATTGGATGGATATATGTCTTGAAAAATGTGCGGCGAGCAAGTGCACAATCTCACTGGTGGGCGCCCTAGTTATTTAGCAGCATATGAATAATTCATTGTCGGGCAGTCAGTTGGGCTCTTCAGAAGTGAGAATAGTTTAAAATAAGCAAACTTATTCGGGGTGTATTTTTCAAAATTGTAAAGGCGGTGTTTGACGGCAGCTTGAGATTTGTGGTGCATGGGCCAACAACTGGTCTGGGTACGCTCTGTGTGGGAACACTGTAGGCCTATTATCGAAACACATAAGGGGGATGACTTGACCCGGGATGACTTGACCTGGGACGACTTGACCTGGGGATGACTTGACTGGGGGACAACTTGACCTGGGGTCCAACGACTTGTCCAACATTCAGCTAGATGGCTGTCGAACTTGGGTTCAAGGCATATGAGCATTTTGAAATAGACACTCTAAAATGTCAGCACTGATTTCCTCTAAGATACCATATCTCTGTCAATGGTAGGCCCCCCTACATCACTACACACTATATCTACGCCCTGTTAATTATCGACTTTTTCCATGTGTGGCAGAGCCAGAAATTTGTTATAGTTTTTGTTAATGTCTTTTCATAGGAGTAGTTCCCCTCTAAAAATAGAGTTTTTGTTTTCTTTTCATAGGAGTAGTTCCCCTCTAAAAATAGAGTTTTTGTTTTGAGTGCCCCTGGATTTTTCTGTTAGTGTATCCCCCTGTTTATTTACTTTGGTCCTTGCTTCTACCCATTTAACTTAACCCCATGCTCGGGCCACATTAAATTTTGAAGAGAAGACCAGCAGAGACACCATCATTGTTCATTTGTTCCTCCTAACTGGAGTGTGTTTCTACTTGAGTCAGGTTTCTGTCTGCTTCTATGAGTCAGTGGTGAGTTTCTCATTTTTCTTATTTCTGTGTAAAGTTCATTTTATGTCTTTTGTACCATCTAGTTAAGTTGACAATCTTCCTAATGGTTAACTTGTGGATTTATTTTAACTTTCTTTGAAAAGACTTGGAATCAAGATTTTGTTGTTAAGATTTGGAGCTTTGTTGGAGCCTTGAAAACTTGCTTTTGGATTCTAGTTTATTTTTCATTTGCCACATATCTTGTTTTAAAGTGTTTTTCTTATATCTTTTTGACTTGACTTTGTTCTTTTGTCGCATGTGTAATATTTTCTATGCCTCTCTTTCTTTGTTTCCACTTCATACTCAGTAGTTTATTGAGATGGCCAGGGGATTTGAATACTTAATGAGCCCCATAGACCTGTGCACATTGTCCATTTTATGATGTGTTAATCCCTACTCTCCATCCTGTTCTATGTAGTTCATGCTCAAGAATTTTTGTTGTTTCTTTTACACGTATGTTCTCTACTTCTCTTGTTTTTCTACAGATTGAAGTCTGAGTGTGAACTCATAAGGTCCATTTTATGCACTGTGTTGGGTTTGGGTTTTGGTTTTAAGTCTTTTATTTTTAGTCTTTGGGTTTTTTTAGTCCTTGAGTCCTTTTCGTTTTTTTTTGCATTTTCCCTGGACTTTTTCATTAATAAATTATTTTTTGTCCCTTTTTTGAAGTCAAATATTGGTGTCAGAGTCCTTGTTAATTCAGTTTCCTGCGACTTTTCCTTCAAAGATCCTTGGTTTAGTTAGAGTTTTTGTCGTTTAGCGAATTCCCCATAGTGTGCTATTTTTCCCTGTTACACATGCTTTATCCATATCTAGACGGACGGCATTTCCTTGATCCTGGTGGGTGGAATTACATCGACAACGGCCGAGGTGCCGTCTGTATCAAATTGAAGGAAGTAGGCCTTGCCTAGTAGTACTAGTAGCTACATGTACGTACTCGATGTCACAACTCTGGAGTAGTGACTATGAGTTCTCCAAGCAAGTAGTACTAGTAGGCCTAGCCTACTTTGGAAATTTGGGGGTATGGTTTGATGTCGACTTGGTGTTCGTTTACCAAATCATGAAACTGAGAATTTCGCTTACCCACATCACACAAGACTCACAGCAAGTGCTGGCTCAGTCATGAAAGGTCATCGTTGTCAGCAGTAGCTTTACCGTGCCGTCTTGCATCTTGAAAGGGAGTACAGTAGTTCCAGGCCACGCCGTGCACGCGTCGTGGTACGTTATGGTTATATGGTGGGTACAGCCACCTTGCAGTTGCAGACGTTACAGGCGAGTTCTCGGACCTCTCTGTGCCCTACCTCCATGCAGTGCCGTATTCTCCGGTTCTTGCATTACTTGGGTACAAATCAGATCAGCATTTCAAGCTGGATTATACTGCGGAGCCACACGTCCTGTCAGTATTCACAAAAAATGAAAACGTGCGGAGAATTCAGTCTTGCTAGTTTTCAAAACCGAGTGCTTCTCCATAAGTACGCATCCATTTCTGTGGTGCAAATGGCGCGCCAAGGCGGTGCACACAGGTGCCATGTGCCGCCGCCGTGTTGATGCCCCCGCCTGCTTACTGTACCACGTGCCTAATGACCTTATGAATAATGCAACAAAAAGTTCCCCCGCGTATTCTAGTGTGGTTTCCTCATTAGAAGGCCCACATTTTTAACGAAAGACGTCTTGGTGTTATAGCAGGTCGCGGGGAGGGGGTTCACGTACGACGAGGATGTTACCATACAGACAGCTCTCAAACTTTTTCAACCTAAACTGCGTTTGCGTGTTTTGACTTCAATTGAAGGTCTATACTGAAATGTACATGGGATCAAATAAGTTTTGAGATGCCAACAACATTAAAAGGAAAACAACTGATTACTTTATTCTTATTCATTTATTTCTGGTAACCCAAATCTCAAAAGTGCCAAAGACAATGTTGCTCACCATCCTAGGGAAATCTGTAGAGGAAACAATGAGATGTTCGGTTTTAGAGGGAGAAAAACCTTGGACAAATATTTCAATTAAATCAAGTAGGGCCTCAAAAACCCAATCTACACATAGACCAAGGGGGAACTCACTGGGTCATGGACAATAGTGACCAGAGGTGGATCCGGGAATATATCTGGTGGTGTGGGGAGGGTCCGGCCAGAAATTTTTCCATTGTCTCATTTTTTTTTTTTTTTGCAAAACGTCAAGTACACACTCAACGGTTCTTATCAGAACCATACCTCTTCCAAAACAGATCTATCCCCATGGTGCTACTGCAAGCCCTCTCTTTAATCTGACAACACATATGAGATAAACAGAGACTCATCGAAAGACTTACAAATTCCATTCAAAAGTAATCTCTTAAGACCACAGCACACTGAAAATAGTACTCATGTAATTCATGACATTCACAGTAAATAAACATGGACGTTTTGTCAACTGTGACAAAGCGAAGGGTGAAGCACACTCATCCTATAAAAGATAATTCTTTTTCCACAGTCTTATACCTTATACAGTCTTATACCATATACAAAGAGAATGGAACATTTAAAATGACAGAAATCCTGTAAACATATGCAGAGGCACAATAATTCAATAGTCCTTTTTTTTTAAAGATGTGATGGCCAACGATCCTTGCAACAAATGTTCCGAGGAAGGTTTGATATCATAAAAAGAGTAATGCAGTTACATCTTGATAAAAGTCCCCAAGTAGACTTAACTGAACCAGGACAGTTTATGAAATATAAAACCCAAGCATCAAGATGGTAACTAAGACCTCTAAGAAGGAATAACAATGTCAGAATGCATCATTGACACAGGCATGGAAGGATTGTACAACTATCATCAAAAGAACTTCAAGTCAATCTTGCTATCCAATTCTATCATATAAATGTTGGCAATTAATCAGATCTGAACTGAACGTAACAACGCCCAATCATGTCACTCTTCAAGGTTTTGGAAGCTCCACATTAAGTTCTAAATTGGGCCTGAGTTTATTTATTGATTTCATTTTATTGCAATGGCTGCAGACAATTTCTTGGAGTACAAGACACTTAGAGACTGAACATTTCCTGTGCATTATTTAAGATAAGGAAATGAAAACCACCATGAATACCTCTGCAGCTGATTCCAACTTATCAAAAGCACACAAAGACAATACTTGGAAGTTCAATTTCAGCTATACAATGGTCTCAAGATAGATATCATTGTGTAGGGTAAACCATTTCAAATCAGTGCTCTGCACATTTATAGTAAACATGTTTTGCAGGTGGAAGCATCAGGGCCTTTTGGGGAAAAATCGGCCAAATTTTTTGACACTATATTTTGTTGGAGTAAAATTTTACTTTAATGGTGAAAGAATATTTACAATGTGATCAGTGATTATGTACATAAGTAAAAAAATTCATAACTTAAAAAGGTCTTGTATGTCGGTGTTCCCATGGGTAATTTAACTAGGAGTTTTTGCAGTTTTACCACAAATACAATTCGTAAAATTTATTTCATTACCAGAGCAAAGTGTGCAGGCCTAGCACATATAGCATGGACCTCTGCTAAAAAAGAAGTCCACATGATGCAGGGTGCCATGGCATTGTGTAGGTTTGTGTGAATCATGTCAGAGGTATTGTCAGGACCACATTTTAGAGACAACCGAAGTGAGAATATCACATGCACAATAACATGTGTGAAAGGCACTCGTGTGAGAATCTGCATGCGAACCAAAACGTGCACGTACTCTATTAATCTGCACTATGCTCTGTGTTTCAAAATGGCATCACACTTTGGTACTCTATCTGCCACGAGCAAGAACCAAAGAGGGCGTGGTTTTAAATGAAACTGACGGACCTTTGGTACGAACTCACCGCATAGGCGCGCAAGTTTATGCGCGTTTGATGTCGGGCACGTTGAGTCCAAGTGACAAATTTGGTCTGGAATGTATGGTCTTTGCATGCCCGCTGAATGTGTGCAAGAACCCGGTCGGAAAACTTCGTACTAGTCTGTCTTTCTTTCACCAGTGAGGGTGTACCTCACCTCAGGGCTGATACGGAAAATTCTGTTGTAAGGAAAATTTGGTCTGGATTGTACGACTTCTGCATAAACAAAATGGTTGCCCGGCAAGATGATTATCACTGAACATGCATGAGTAGAACCCACAACTTCCGGAATAAGTACCTTAGTGCTCACATGGAGCTGTGATCAGGTTTTATCACAATCCTCTGGAAGTCATCTTGTCAAAAGATGTTCAAACGAATTGTGCCAAAATGCTTACCTAGTCATAACTCGGCCTATAACCTGTCTGGGGCTTGTGACTGACTCGCCTACAATTGTGGCCATCATGAAGCCCATCGTCTCTTTCAAGCTGAACCCTAACACGTAGTCTGATCAGTGTTGTATTCGAGTCCATCACAAATCCCTGCAAGTTCCCGTAAGTCCATCACGAGTCATCCTCTCGGAAGCCAATTCACAAGCTATTCTAAAGAACTGTGACAAAAGCATTCTTTTCTCATTGTTCACCCTGTTACTTGTGACTGGCCTTGTGAAAGGATTTGTGATGCGACTTGTGATGGACTGGAATGCAACGCTGGTTCTGACACAAAATGACTGTACCTAGTGTCACCAAGGCAATTTGTTTTTATTTTCGAGGTGTGGAAAGTGGTGTTCTGGAAGTCGTCAGGTAGCCCGAAATGGCGGCTTGCAGCATCCCTGCCCGCTGTGCCTCCTCCTCTTGCATCCGGCAGAAATCCATCTCCTGGGATCGCATCTTCTCCTTCGTGCCTTCCAGCTCGTTGTCTCGGTCCATCAGCTCGGTGCGGTGCCGCCTCGTTTGCTCTTTGAACATTGATAAATAGACCAAAGTGTGGTGGTCAATTAGGCAATGTAACATCATTTGATTTTTGTTCAAAAAGATGTGTTATTCAAAATTACTAAGGTTTGCTTTTCAACTTCAAAATTAAATTGATGTTATTTTGAACCAGACAGTGTAGTGTAAACCAATGGAGTATGCGCGTGTTGGTTTTCACGATGATGCCTTTTACTCAGATAACTGTGCATGTGATATATTTACTTCAGTACTCTAAAATTTCAGTTCATTACAAAAAATTGCAATTTGACAAAGGTGGGGAGGGGAAATTAATCCACAACATCAATTACGGTTCAGTTCAATTTAGTAACATTTATTTCTAGACAATAGAGACATCGTCCTAAAAAGCCAAAGCTTGTGGTGAATGTTTTCAACGAAGGGCATCAAGCAGGACCAACAGAGGGTGCTATTTTCTTAGCAATAGAGGGTCCATTGGTACTGAACTGTACTTCATTGGTTCAAGAACGACTATGAAATGTAGGCGTCATGATCAAATTGCTTCCAACAAATTGAAAACTATCGACAAACGAGACTCTTTTCAACTGATGAAGGGGTGCTTCTGCTCGAGGCAGAAAATGTTCGGGCAATAAGCACAGCGTATTATCTGGAGAAAAAAAAAGGGACGTGACTTCAGAGGGACTGTTTGCGGGAGCAAGGGATAACCTACCTGCCAGCTGCAATTCCAGTGCCGAGCAGCGTTCTCGCAGCGACTCTGCGTCTTGCACCCGGGCTTCCATCTTGCTCAGCTGCTTGCTGCAACTCAGCTTGACCTTGTTGACTTCTGTCTGCAGCTCGTTGTTCTTGCCTGCCAGCTCCTGCTCAACAGAACAAAACCTTCCTTTGCACAGAGTGCACATGCTAAAAGTAAAAATCCTGGGTGCTCTGCATGAGTGCCGGGAAAGTACGCGCGCAGCACCGACGGCATTCAAGGCTCGGCACAACCTCTCTCATTGTTGCGTCAGGGTTCCCCACAGAAATGTGAGAATTCTGTGACTTTTCCCTGGACTTTCCAGGGTTGAAATATGTTAATTTTGAATGGTACGAAATGCCATTCTGACGAGAAAAGTTGTTTGCTATCATGACCTAGAACACTGCCAAGGATAGCCTGTAAATTTATAAAATTCCAGAAAAAATACCGAAAATAATCCTTGCATGATCTTGATTTCCATGACTTTTCCAGAACGTTTTTCCCTCTGACAACAGAATTCCAGGACAACCTTTTTTCCTCAATCTTCCATCACCTTACCATGACTTTCCGGGACAACTTTTTTCCCAGAAATTTCCAGTACTGTGGGACCCGCTTCCCTGACAGAGCACTTGTGCGCAGCACGTTATACTTGTTTTCACTAATCTATCAGTGGATGCTTAACTTGCCATTCCGCAGCGCCTCAAAGCTCTCAGTCTTCCACTGGGAAGGGGCTTGAGATTGAGGGTGGGGCTGGGATAAGGAGGATAGGAGGGAGTACCTGGTTGATTTCCTCCAGTCTGCGTTTGAGAGACTCCACCTCCAGGGCGGCGTTGCTGTTCTTGGCCTGCAGCTCGGCTATGGTCTGCAGCTGTTGGGAGTGGTGCTGCTGGATGTCGTCCTTGGCATTGGCCAGTAGGCGGATCTTGTCTTCCAGGTGTTTCATGCGCTGATGCTGTCCATTCAAGTACATAATTCCAGGCAAATGCAGCGATGAAACTGAATGGATACTTCAACAATCTAAAACTGAATATCTTTGGTCTTGGATGTGAAACTGTCTCAAAACATTGATTTGAAGAAGGGCATTTCTCCACTACAGGTTCTAAAATAGATCATTTAAAATAATCAGTGATATAGGCTTGTTTAACTCCAGCATCATTGTAATTATAAGCAGTGACAAAGACACTGTCATTGGGCTTGAAACCCTTTCTTTATAGTTAGGCCGAACAAAAAAATAGCTATGTTTCTGGTTACCCGACCCAACCTAGAAAATCAGGCAAAACCGATATCTTCTGGATCTAGATTTGTGGCTGATAAAACGGGTATCCGTATCACATCAGACAAATCAATAAAATATAAAAACTTAAAGTGCCCTGCCCCGAGCCTAATTTTATGTACATCGTCCTGTACATTGTATTGTTTAAAGTTTTGGGGGGGGCATGAGATGGACGGCTCTTGTGTGTTTGTCTTTCAACAACCAGCTGCTTTACTGCTCAATCACAGTGCTGATATGTAATATTGACGTGCACATGTACAGTAGTAATCTGACACTGACTTAGTACCTATTAGAAATATACGCAACCCCCCCAAAATACAGACCATCATCCGAAGCTATTTTTGGCTATAAAAATTTAGAGTAAAAGAAAAACATTTTAACCAACCAACCACCCTAATTTATTTTTCAGTGTAATAGGAAACATGACAAATTTTTTGTGGCCTTATCAACATTATGAGCCTGAGGGCTTCAAGAACTGCTCTTCCTTCTACAGGTCATCCTTTCAGTGCAGTGCCCGTCATGATAGAAAAGGCTGATGTGAAGTGAAGACAGTTTCAGTTTCTGAGGTTGGCCTATACCCTGATACATTCACATAAAAACTGACTGTCTCGCATAGCACATGATTTTGTGCACATTCAACTACAAATTGGTCACTCGCATTGTGCATGCTAGTGATGTGCAAGGCTTGCTGACTGTGCTGGAAATGCCATCACTGGGTTGCCTCTAGTTAGCCGCACTGTGCCTTCACATGTCCCTACTAATCATGATCAATGCACATCCAACAGAGAGAAGACCCCATAACACAATTTGAAAACTACCAAGTGAGAGATTTGAGAAATTAGCCATCACCAACACCCTCAGATGAGTGTCAGGTGGAAGAAGCCACCTCTTTGATCCAATCTCTTCTTCTTAGATTCTAACCACTTTCTCCTCGAACCCCTTCTCCTCTTCGACCATCCTTCATCGTTAAATGAACCTCATCTCTCCTTGAATCTCGCCGCCTCCTCTGATTCTCATCTCTTCATCTGAAGACCATTCCGTCTTCTCCTTGACCCTCTTCTTATGATGTCCTTCACCTCTTCATCTAATGACCATCATCTGTCCCTTTAATGACCCTCATCTCTTCTTCCTTGACCTTCGACTCTCCCTTCAGTGACTCTAATTCTTCCTCTTTCACCTCCAACACTTCCTCAAAAAACCTCACTTCTTGCCCAATGATCCTAACCTCTTCTTCTTTGACCATCAACATGTCATGCAATGACCCTCATTACTGCCAGCTTGACCCTCATCTCGTCTTCCTCC